TGAACATAAATGAATCTTACCTCTCTGGTATAGATCTAACTCCCGGATATAGATCAAGAGACGTTCGTGCTGATAACGTGTTGTAAACTAATGCTTTATAAAGAAAAGCAAATAAGAGTTTAAGATCTTTTGAACTTCAGAGAGAAAGAGAGAAAGATGAACATAAGAACTTCATTTCTTTCTTCTTCTGAACTTATGATTTTACGAAGAATGAAGTTACCTATTTATTGGAAAAATCTTACTTTATAGTGAAGTAAGATAATCTATAAAGACAAAACATATAGATGAGCATTATCCAAAACATATGGATAAGCATTATCTAAAACTTATGGATAAACATTATCCTTTAATATGATGTATAAAGACAAAAGCAAATGGATAATCACTATCCATTTAACAGTACTGTTATATTATAGTTTGATGATTATCTATTCGTTTTATTTTGTTTTGTTTGTATTGATAACACCGACATAGTAACTTTATAAATAGGGTTACACACGCCCTCTTCATTACTATCATATCTCTGGTTCGAACAATATGAGGGTCATATAATTCTAATTTGTAGCACTTGAGGGTGATGGGGATGTTGTCTCGAGTATACGAAACCCCAAAATATTTTTTTATAGACATTTTAAAGTTGCTTTTAAATCTTTTTAAAATCTCAACAAAAAAATTATAAAGATTTATAAAAATGTTTATAAAGATTTAAAAGTAATTTTATAAAGATTTAAAAGCAAATTTATAAATCTTTATTAAAGCAAAGACCGAAATGTCAATATATTAGAGAAAGGAAAGAATCTGTTACAAAAGCCATTACATTATCAGTTGAGCTTCTATGGCCAAAAAAGGGAGGAAAAAACCAAAAAGAAGCTTACAAGATTGAGATTATAAAACAGAAGAGTTTTTGAACTGACGAAATTGTAAAACAAAAAAAAAGAGTTTTTATTACAAAAACCAGGAGAAACAGTTTCATACTCTAGCCTTTTTGTTTCACATAGAGCTTCTACGATCATCCACTTTCAGTTTACCCTTCTCCAACTCTCTAGGCTTGTCCACATTGTGTAGTTTTCTCTTCGACTTTTTGCTCTCACTAGGCGACACAAGTGATAACTCATCTGCAGCTGCATCGTTGAGTTGGTTATCTGAAGAAGGTCCATCAAATAGCTCACAAAATAAGTCAACCGCCAGCTTAATCCTCAGTCGTTCAATATTTGCAAGGCAGAGACTAGACATGTCTGTCATCATACTCGCATGGCAGTCTATGAACTTGAAAGTATATAAACCTATGTCCTGGAAATTTCTTACTAAGAGTAAAACATTGGGGATTAGTCAGCCAAGAACTTATAGAAAAGAAAGTCGTTTTTTGAGTAACATACCTTGGGTATTCTTGGATGCTTTTTGATAGTGAATTCTTTGGAATAACTCACACCCTTTACAAACCTTTTTAAAAGCACATGCATTATTTGTGCATATGGGATTGCCGAAGTCCCATAATCAGATAATCTGTCCGGGTATCTGTCGCTCTCCCATATGCTTACTGACCCTTTCTTCAAGTCAAATATCACAGCAACCCACTGTTTGTCATGCCAAAATTTTGGCGCATAAACATAGTCTATGTCTTTGATTATCTTCTTCCCTGTATTACCAATAGCCGGCAATGTACCATTGATGTAGCCTTCAATATTTTTGTTGTCGTAGTTGTACCACCTTTGACTGAACCGCCATCTTTCCCAGCATTGTTTGAGTGTCAAAGGGAAATCTTCTCCATAGATGGCGACTCTACTGTTTGCAAAAATTTTGGGACTATTTTTTCTCCTTGTTCGAAGCAAATGCATAGCAGACTCCATATGCTGCAATAAAGCAAAAGATATCATATACCTTTTTACTTTTAAACTATAAATGCGTACAAATCAAAGATAACAAAGTGAATGAGATTGCACATGTAGGATTCGTAAGTTTATATCACAAGCAAAAAGAATTATGACACACCCAAAGTTTGGCAGATGTTTAAAAATTGAAGCAGAAAGGAAGATGATGTTCAAAGTCCCTGTCTTGTCAATCTAATATGATGTCAAATTCATATTCTAGTCTTACCTTTCTGGTCATTACAGTCCCTGGTGTCTGGAGTTTAATAAACCAATCACCATTTACTTCATGTCCAAGGAATCTTTCAAGATCCTACATTACAAAAGATATATGTAAATCTCTCCATAGTTTGGCAATCTTAACTTACTTCAGGTTAGTTGCATTCTTCCATTCATCCAATCTTGCTTTTCTTGATAGATGATATAGCTGGAATGGGTGGAATACTGGATGAGCTCCACCTTGTTGCAACTGAATGTTAACATCTTCATCCGCCAGTGGTGTTCCCAAAGCAATACCTTCACCAAATCCACGTCGGCTGGAATTGTGACTTTCATCATCTTCATCAACGTGACCATCATCATCTTCATGAATTTCTTTGTTGGCATCGTTACCTTCATCATCTTTAGGATTTTCTGTACAACAAAACAAGAACAAAATTGTGTGTTTTTAAAGTTGGTTTTATAAAAGAACATATTCACATGACATAAATTATCATTACCGTCAACAATATTGGTAGCCTCACCGGTCGCCACCATAATCTTCATCAATATCGTCAACAACATTTGTATCCTCAACACTGCCAGTATGATCTCCATCATTACCATTTGCATCATCTTTATCCTCACCATGATCTTCAACATTATCTTCTGTATTGTTAATATCAATAGGCGCATCATCTCCAGGATCTTTTGCAACATCGTTATCCTCACCATCTTCAGGATCTTTTGCATCATTGTTATCCTCACCATCTTCAGGATTTTTTTTTCTATGAATCATAAATCATATTGTAGTACCTAGCGCAGGCACAACTGACAAAGCCCACATCGTGATTGCCCATACGAATCCTTGCACTTCATACCGATTTTCTGCCCATGTTTTTGCATTCATCCTTTGTATACTAGCAGATAGGACTTCGTAGCCCATCTTCCCCCAAAGTTTCGAAGAGTATTTATCGAAATTTAAAAAAAATTGCAAACTCTCTCGCGATACCTTTATCGTTGGATTCTTGGAGATTATAATCCTATGAGTCAAGATAGCAGCTCCAAGATAAAGTCTCTCCTCAGCAGATATAGTTTTCCCACTAGTTTCCAGCAGCTCCATCAAATCTTTGACACTGTACTTATCCTCTTTCCCCAACATCCAACCATAAGGCTTTTTCACTAGCTTGTGTGTTGGTTGTCATTTGGGATTGATTTCTTCTGCTTCAGGCTCACAATGAAATCATCGGCTGATCTGCAAATGGAAACCACAAGTCTTCTCCTTGTGTCAAAATTCTTCTTCGCATCAAAAAGTGGAAGATCTTTCCAGAAAACTGAATGTCCTCCCTCCTTGCGAGTTTGACTATCAGGGTGAGATAAGAATTTTTGATTATGGCGAACTGTGTTTTTCCTGACACCTTTTTGAATCTATGCACCATGTCTAAGCTTAAATGCTGCATGATTACACATAATTCGTCTGGTTCAGTCCCGGACTGATATATCCTTGGAGGCAATTTCAGTGTTGTATGGACTTATCTTCTATCATCTGCAAAAGTTTCAGAAAAACAATATCAAAGCAAACGAAAAAATATAAAGGAATCATATTCTACTGGAACCAAACTTTGATTGCTTAATCAATCACTTCAAAAGGATTCTATACACTAAAATGTTAGCCAATTGAAACATATAATAAAAAAACCCTAACATTTTTAGCGACTAAATTTTTAATTCTTTAGTTACCCAGAACTGGAAACCAAGCAATTGACGAGAAATTGATGAACATATATTCATAAAGCCTTATAATTTCTTATAAATCTGCGCTCACAATACAGTAAACTTAAATCTCAACTACAAGATAGGTTATCAGGGAAAGAGAGAGAGACAGAGCGAAAGACAGATAAAAAGAGAGCGCGAAAGAACAAACATTTATAGATTTTTACAGAAAATCTGAGATACGTTTGGTGAAGAAGGGGAAAAGTTTTGGCTTTTTCTTACCTTTTTGGCAAAGAAGGTAAGTCGTACACATACGATAGGGTGTTGGGGTTTCTGATAAGGAAATGAAAATCTTTATAAAAAAAATTTCAATTTTTTGGGCCTGTGTTTGGGCCTACAATCTAACCAGAACAATTACAAATAACTAAATCATATTGTCTTTATAAATAATTACACTCGAGGTCTTGACAATTAAAACACCACAGTTTTGGGGTTACACACGCTCTCTTCATAACCAGCAGTACCCTGGTTCGAGCACACAAATACTTTTTTTATAAACATTTTAAAACATCTTTTAAATCTTTTTAAACTCTCAACACAAAATTTATAAAGATTTAAAAGCTAATGTATAAAGCTTTAATAATGCCCGAGACCGAACTTAAACACCAATGTTTTATGTCATTTCATTGGCATTATAATCCAAACAAAATCCAAAAATATATTTATAAACATTTTTAAAACTTCTTTTAAGTCCTTTTAAAATCTCAACACAAAATTTATATACGATTTATAACTTAATTTATAAATCTTTATAAATGATTTTTATTGGCCCGTGTTTGGGCCTACATTTTATGCACAATAATTACAAATAACTAAATCATATTGTCTTTATAAACAATTACACTCGAGGTTATGATAACTATAACACCACAGCTTTGGGGGTTACACACGCCCTCTTCGTTACCTTCAATACCCTAGTTCGAGCATCATCAAGGTCAAATAATTCTAATTTGTAGAACTTGAAAGGTGTCCCGAGTGTTCGAAAACCCAAAATATTTTTTATAAAACTTCTTTTAAATCTCAAACACAAAATTTATAAAGATTTAAAAGCTAATTTATAAATCTTTATAAAATATTGCTGGATTTTTTGGGTCCATTTTTGGGCCTACATTTTAACCAGAACAATTACACATAACTAAATCATAAACAATTACACTCAAGGTTATGACAGTTAAAACACCACAGTCTTGGGGGTTACACACACCCTCTTCATTACCATCAATACCCTGGTTCGAGCAACATGGGGGTCACATAATTCTAATTCGTAGCACTCGAGGGGTACTGCAGGTGTTGTCTCGAGTGTTCGAAACCCCAATAATATTTTTGATGGAAAAAAGGAAATTTATAAACCTTTATAAAATGCATAATGAAACACCAATATTTTGTGTCGTTTAATTGGCATAATGATCCAAACACCATCAAACTTACCCATACTGAACTAATGGCCCCTGAACTCTTTTAACCATAAATTTCGATATTGCAGTCTAACATAGCAAAAAAAAAAATTAAACTAATGATTTGAAATAAAGAAATGCCTCTTCTCCACTTCTCTGTGCATCCTTACTCCATCTCCTGTCCCTATACACAATTAGATCTACAACATAAGATAATTTTTGTGGATGCTTTACAACCGTTTACAAAACATCATAGTCTCGTGTTTTACCTGACTTGGCAAATTACGGAGCTGATAACTCTGAGAAGATATCAACAGCAAGATTCATTCTTATATCCCCGATGTTTTCTTCAAAAAGTTTCGTCAAGTCCTTGATGCGCATCGAGTGGCACTCTATTAATTTCAACACGTAAATGCTTGTGTCTGCTACTTTAGCAACCTCAAAAGGAGAAGACATATAAATGTAACGCTCTATTAAAAAGTTTAAGGAAACATGATAACATTTATTTCAAACAAGCACTTAACATGTGATCCTTCTTTTAACTCTATTTGTGTACTGAATGGAGAGGTAACCATCGTGTCATCAAGGTTAATTTGGCGAATGATGTAAAAAATTGTATATGCATACACACCAATGTATGTATTGACCTGTTCTTCCGAAATCTTTGACGCTGCACAGTTCGATACGATTAAATTTCTATTCTCAAGATGAAATATCAATGCAATCCAGCATTTATACTTAATCCTCAATGGTGCGTAGATAATACGGATGTTTTTCTCTATGTCATAACTAGTGAATTCAGTCCCGAATTGAAACCCGTCCTTGTCATCTGCAAAAATATCATAAATCTCGTCTATTGCTTTCAGGAACGATTCACCAACTATCAAAGCACTTTTGTTCAATAACAAAAGCGGATTTTGTTTCTTTCGCATCCTCAACAACTCCAAAGCTGCTTCCATATGCTATAAGCCAAAAAAAGATAGTTTTAAGATGTTCCAAATTTTAAGAAAAAACATTTTTTGCAGGACTAAAATGTGTATAAACTTACCGCTTTCACAAAAGCATTTCCTGCTGTCTCTAGCGTGGTAATCCACTTTAGATCTACGGTAATGTCATTAATTTTCAGTGGCATGCATTAAGAATATATAGTAATTGTTACAAATATGGCATCACTTTGACATCTTTTATATAGCTAACAAAAACCCAACTTACAAATTTAACTGTTTCCATTCCTTTATTTTCTCCATTCGCATCTTATCAACCGGCTCAAAAGAAAGAATTAGTGGATGTATTTTCCTTGCTCCTGTGTAAGGTGGTTGTGTAAGAATCGAAGTCACTTGTCCTCTCTGGCTTCTTCTTCCTGGAACTCCATCTGCATGACGTTATCTGTCTGCTTTATGTTTCTTCTTTTTTAGATATTGGTTCAACTTCCTAAAATGCAAAACCATTTTGAATTTTGAAAAGTTGAACAGTTAACTTGTAACTTAATCATATTATATAGGGAACCAACCCATTTACGTCTCTGTATCCTTCTGTAGCTCGTTTCTTATTTTTCGTCACACTTTGTAAATCTAATAAACCTCTTTGAGAAATTTCAAAATTTGTTACATTTGCGTCAATACCCTAGTCAAAATTGAGAATTTTCAAAACTTTAGCATCAACACTACTAGTTGAATAAATCCCATATATGTTTTGGTAAAATGTCTTAAATTACCTCCTCATTGTCTTTGTCATCAGCTCTTTGTCTACTAGTATCACCTCCCTTGTCTTTATTTATGTTGTTTTGTAAACTGTCTTGGGAAAGAAGATTGAATCTTGGTGTAGTAGGCGATGAAACCTATTCGAGCATAACAAGAAAAATGAGATATACCATTCTATTTATCAGTGAAACACAAGCTTAAATTTAAAAAATATAGCATGAAGTATCTACTTTACTCTTTTATTACCTCGGAGATTTTTTTTTCTCACCACAATTTGCAGTTGCCATAAAAGATATATCATTGTTACAGCTATTTGAAGCTTCATCGTCGCCAAGTTTTTGGGTACTTTCAACAATAACTTCTGTATCTTCATTATATCCAACAGAAAATCAAAAACCAACAAGGATTATAAAAATTCATTTTTTGGATTCAAACAAGGAGTAAAGATGAATCATCTTTACCTTCAACAACGGTTGTAGCTTCCTCATCGCCATGATCTTGTGTCTTTTCAACCATAACTTCTGTTTCTTCATCGCCAATACCAACCGAACTAGCATCTTTACCATTAACTTCACCAACAAAATCAGCTGTTTCTTCAACAGCACCATGATTTTGTGTATTATCATCATTGGCAGCATAACTGCCATTTGAATTTGCTTCACGACGAGAATCCTCTGACTTTGTATCATTGCAAATATCTTCCTGCATGCCATCTCCAACAACATTCTCATTTTCCTATAAAAAAGAATCAAACAACACTCTATTATCACAGTCCCAAAAGTAAATTTATTTAGGACATTTTAAAACATATTTTTAGATATTTTTATACTGTCAGTTTTTACCTCTGATCCCTTGCCATCTGCTTCATTTTCTTCTGGAATCCAAAAGACTTGCTGGATGATCTTCACTTTGCTGGTCAAGATCACAACCATATTGAGTATCTTGTGAAATTTTTCACTGTCAATCAAAGGAGGAGGCTCAGTGGTTATTCTAGGCTCTGCATTTTTTGCATGCTGTGTCCCTATGTCTTCAAATGCAGTAACAAAATCTACCATGCTGCTTATCCAGTCGGCTCTCCTCAATCTATAGCCTTGCTTGACTAATTACACAACCGCTTCAAAGTCTTTGTCAATACGATTTGATGGTGGAACCAAATTGTTATATTCCTCTGGATCTCCAACAACAGTATTGACTACAACCTGCAAACTCATAGAAATACATTTTGTAAAGCTTTATTAAAGCATCAAAAACAGTATCTACAATCAAATAAACTGAGAATCACGTACATTATTTTCTGCTCTACATGCAAAACTTCTGAAATCCTGGGAGTCCGAGTGGCTTTCCACTATAAACACAACAGGCCAGCAGACGAGTTTAAATCAATTTGACTCCCAAATTTAGTACCTAGCGCAGGCACAACAGACAAATCCCACAACGTGATTGCCCATACGAATCCTTGCACTTCATACTAACTTTTTGCAAATGTTTTTGCTTTCATCCTGCGTATACTAGCAGATAGGACTTCATAGCCTATCTTCCCCCAAGGATGCGAAAAGTAAGTATCAAAATTCAGAAACATTTGCAAACTCTCTCGTGATACCTTTACCGTTAAATTCTTGAAGATTATAATCCCATGAGTCAAGATAGCAGCTCCAAGAGAAAGTCTCTCCTCAGCAGACATACTATTCGTATTTTCTTCCAGCAGATTCATCAAATCTTTCACCGTGTACTTATCTGTCTCCCCTAGCATCCACATATCTGGTATTTTCACCAGCTCATGTGATGGTTCTGTTGTTTGGTTTGGGTTCTCCTCTAGCTCACAACAAAGCAAGCCTGTGGTTAGGAAATACCCCCTAAGTGAAAATCTCACAGGCTATTCAGCATATGCAAACCATAACTCTTCTCCCGCAGTCAAAATTCTTCTTTGCATCAAGAAGTGGAAGAGCTTTCCAGAAAATTGAATCTCCTTCCTCCTTGCGAGTTTTAGTATCGGGCTGAGATAAGAGCTTTTGATCACACCCAACTCCCAATCTCCTAACAACTTTGTGACTTTATCCACATAAAGTTGGTTCGAATATTGCAGGACTGCAATGCTGTCCTTTAGTTCAGTCCCGGGTACATAAATCCGTGGAGGTAATTTCAAGGTTGTATCAATTTCTTCATCCATCATCTGCAATGTTATACAATAACAATCTTTAAATCAAAACCTGAAGTACATGCCATACATATTATGATATACTTGAACCATTTGTTTAATCATTTGAATGTAATTTATACACAACATTGTTATCTATTCGAAACAAGATGAACAAATACACCCAGAATCCAAAACAAAGCAACACAAAAAATTCGGCTAAATGATATCCGTATAATCTTTCAAAACCGGTGAAATGATAGGAACTGGGAAAGAGAGAGAGAGAGAGAGAGAGAGAGAGAGAGAGAGAGAGAGAGAGAGAGAGAGAGAGAGAGAGAGAGAGAGGTTTGTAAAGGCTTAGAAATCTTTCTAAATCAGCAACCACAAAGGACTTAGTTAAACAAATTGGTGATTCACAATTCACGAATCACAAATTTTTCAAAATCGGCAACCACAATGAATTCAGCAAAACAAATCACAATTTTAATGAAAACAAATTGGTGATTCACAAATCACGTTCACAAATTTTTCAAAATCGGTAACCATAATAGATTTAGCGAAACAAATCACGAATCACATACTTTTGTCCGATAAAAACAAATCAGAATTTTCCGATCACGAATCAATGATCAACACAATCTTCAATATCGCTTGATCACGAAGATCTAAGTTTTTGGCTGCTGTAGTCGGACGATCAAGACGAAGAAAAGAAGTTGTCTCTGTCGTTTTTAATCCAGAATATAAGTGTCTTTTACTTTATAAATTAATTATATATTTAAAAATGTCCAATGTTTAATAGTAAGCTTGAAAAAATGGTATAGTGAAAGTTGTGGTTTTAAAAATTTCCCATTGATTTTATCTTTTCTAAAAGCTGAGAATAGCAAAAAAAAAAAAAAAAAAAAAAAAACTAAACAAAACAAAATCCAGTGGTCACGAAAGATTATTGTTTTGCCGATGACAAATAATCTCCACTTTTAAATGACAAATTAAAATGCAAATTAATTTCTTAGCTTTCTTTTTGTTTTCTTTTGTTTGGGTGCCTTTTGGAGGAGAGAGTCTCTGGTTTCATGTGATAAAAGCATCATTCAGCCAAATATCAATTCGAGATGCTGTGACAGTGAAAGGGGAGGCCTAAAATCAATAATGTAATTAATTTTACTCTTCTACACTTAGATTAATTGAACACTTGATTATGTTTCTTTAGACCTTTTCAATAATTGTATGGCCTCAATCATAAATTCATGTCAAAATTAATAGGTTTGGAACAACATCTACTACAAGTTCGATATGTAGCACTACGTTACTGTCGACGATCCATTGAAGATAAGACACAATTCGCGATAACTGGAAGTTCCAACCAATAAGAATCCTAATGAACCTAAAAATAGGATAAAGGCTCAGCAGATATTCCAAGTTATGTTCCCGATAAGGAACACATCAACTAGGTGTGGATTGATATGAGATTGTATATGTAAACTGCAGAAAGATGTAGAGGCGATAAATGAAATGAATGCTACTGGCTACAGATTCTCCTTTGCGTGGTCAAGAATCATTCCAAGTATGTACACATTATCGATACATACAATACACGTCTTTGTGTTTTGATTAAGATTGCTTGGAAGATAAATTATACGTATATGTAACCATGAATGAGCAGAAGGAAAGGTGAGTAGGGGTGTGAACAAAGGAGGCATTGATTACTACCACAAACTCCTAGATGCCCTCATCGCAAAGAACATAACGCCTTTCGTTACCCTCTTTCACTGGGACCTTCCTCAAACACTGCAAGATGAGTATGAAGGTTTCTTGAACCGCACGGTCATGTATGTTATTTTTGCAATGCCATGCTACTTAATTACAAAAATATATATAGGTTTTTTGATCTTGCAACTAATGAAATGATTCTATAATATATGCGCAGTGATGATTTCAGAGATTATGCGGATCTATGTTTCGAGGAATTTGGTGGAAAGGTAAAGAACTGGATCACTATCAACCAGCTCTACACAGTGCCTACGAGAGGCTATGCAATCGGGACAGATGCACCCGGTCGATGTTCTCCAGCGATTGATGAGAGATGTTACGGTGGAAATTCTTCAATAGAACCCTATATAGTTGCGCATAACCAGCTCCTTGCTCATGCTGCGGCGGTTGATGTTTACAGGACGAAATATAAGGTGAGTTCATGACTTATAAAAAAGGTGTAATCTAACATATCTAGCTATTCCTAATTTAATCATATCATTTGTGTGTATATCATGACCAACAGTTCCAAGGAGGGAAGATCGGACCTGTGATGATAACTAGATGGTTTCTTCCATATGATGAGACTGATAAAGCCTGCCTAGATGCAACTGAGAGAATAAAAGAATTCTTCTTAGGATGGTACCAAAAAATCAAAACGTGTTTTAAAGAACATTATTAATATATGAACCCTAACTTAGGTCTAACGATCAATTTCTCCCTCGGAACTGTAAATGTACCAGGTTCATGGAGCCGCTAACAAAGGGTAGATACCCAGACGTCATGAGGCAAATTGTGGGAAGTCGTCTTCCCAACTTCACAGAAGCAGAAGCCAAACTCGTAAAAGGTTCATATGATTTTCTTGGTCTCAACTATTACGTCACTCAGTATGCACAGCCAGCTGCTAACCCATATCCTTCGCCAAAACACACTGCCATGATGGACCCATGCGTAAAGCTCACATGTACTACTCTATTTCCACTTAGTTACAACCTTTCAATATATCTCCTTTTAAATACAAAACATATTTTGTTAGTGACCATCAAATTATTTCATCCTTGTGTTTACAGCTGAGAATATACGTGGGGAAGTTCCTGGTCCACTGGTACATATATATATTTGATTCTTTTATTTACACTTTTTGTCTTAAGAAAAATAAAATTCATCTGGTTTATATATATATTTGATTCTCTTTCTCAGTTCTCTGAAGACAAGGTAAGCGGCAACAGCTATTACTACCCAAAAGGAATTTATTACGTAATGGATCACTTCAAAACCAGATACGGTGACCCTTTAATCTATATCACCGAGAACGGTGAGTTTCTACTACTCATCTCTTTTCATCTGAAGTATATTTCCAAAATTGGTTTGAAGTAATTGACTCAGATATTGTACCAATTGTTCCGGTTTAATTAGGGATTAGTAGCCCCGGTTCCGAACCCCGTGAGCAGGCTGTTGCCGATTCCAAGCGGATTGATTATCTCTGTAGTCATCTCTGTTTTCTCAGTAAAGTCATCAAGTGAGTGGATGCTACTAAACTCTTTTTTTCTCTCTCTTTAATATATATACATGTATGATGTCATCATCTTTTTAATTATATATGATGATTGTTCTTGTTTTCAGAGAGAAGAATGTCAACGTCAAAGGATACTTTGCATGGGCTCTTGGAGATAATTATGAGTTCTGCAAAGGCTTCAGCGTCAGATTTGGACTCAGTTACATTAATTGGACAGACGTTAGTGATAGAAACCTAAAAGATTCTGCCAAATGGTACCAGACGTTCATTAACGTTACCACCAAGAACCCTACAAAACAAGATTTCCTCCGCTCAAGCCTCTCCTCCCAGTACAAGAAGCTCGCAGATGCATGAAACAATTTATCCCTATCAATCTTATGTCACAACACAACTCTTTCTAGTTGCTACACAGATAACATAAGTGAGCTTCTTCTATTGTACTAATAAATACCCCAATAATAAATGATAAATGAATAATACTTTTTTTTTTACTAAAATATGAATAATACTTTTAATTACTATATATATTACCTTAAGTCAACGGATGGGGAACAAAAAAAAAGGAACCCAATTTAACCATAACAAACCAAAAAAATCATACCGCTAATCGTTTTACTGTAATCCCTTTTCCTAGTCGTCATGGGAAAGAAAGACAGAAATCGTTTTACTGTGATCCCTCAACCATAGTTGTCTTGTAAATGGTGCTGGTGGTCGAGGGAGGGCACTTGGTGACTACAGCAGGCCTGATCAAATCTATGCCAATAGGTCTGCGATTAAAACTCCTCCATTCCAAAGAAATGATTTTAAGCTGAAACCTGCATACTACACTCTTGTGGTTCAGCATCTTTTTCGTGGTCTTTCTCACGAGTATCAGATGAATCACAATGTAAAGTTT